CCCCCCCCCCCCCCCCCCCCCCCCCCCCCGAGCCTGCCGCTCAGTCACGGAAATCGCAGTACACCCGCCCACCCCCCCAGATGAAAACTGCACATCTCTTCAGATAATCTTTCTCACAAGGCACGCTCTCTAACTTCCCTTTCTCCCAATTGTTACTCAGTCATAACTTTTGAGTCAGCACTCTCACTGTAATTTCTTCTCCAGTTGTGGCTGCTGTGCCTCAGTTTCCCATATTATGCTTGGCTACCACTAAACGAGTCACGAGCACAGAGCAAGGAACCCTGGACAGACACACACCACGAGTCACCACGTTCCTTCCTTCCTCCCTCCTCCATCCCCTCCAATCGTAAACCCAAACACAATCCTGATAAAAAATGTTAAGTACCAGGGCAGCAGAATGTAGAAAGCTGGTTTAAAATAATGCAAAAACGAAACTGCCTTCCAATGGGGTTATATAAATTTATATCCTCACCAGCAATGTAGAAAAATGTGTTTCCCCATAGCCTTGCCAACAGTTTTGTCAAACTTGGAGTTTTGCTAATCTAGTAAGTAAAAAATAATATCTCAGTAAATAAATAAATAATACAAAAACACGTGGCCCAGTGCACGCAAAAATGCTGTTATCCTTCCCCCAATTAAACTTTCTTTTCTCGAGAACCAGCATTCAAGTTAAGCTACCCTTTTCTCATCCTTTTTATTGTATTACCATTGCACTACCTGAAAACTGTATTTTTTGCAGTACTGTTCAAAATTACCTGCTTGTATCTATTCTTGCTTTTAGACAATGAATTATCCAAGGATATTTATTACCTATTCTTCAGTTTAAAAAGCACAGCTTTCGAACAAAGTATCTAGGCAGTTTAGTGCGTAAAGAATGTGGCTGAAGCCTGAATATAGCTATTCCAGATGTAATGGTGATGGGAGCTCTTACTGCTTCGTAGAAAATCACCACATCCTCTGTTGAAATGCGTTCAAATACCAGAAAAGACGGTCAAATGTGATTGTAGAATACTACCTGCATGCCAGCTGGGCACTACCTAGAGTGTGCCTAGAGTGAACAAACAAAATAATAAAGTCACATAAGTTTCCACCTTACTTTTTCTTCTTGCCTAAATTCAGAGCATTAAAGGCCATTGTTTTCTGTGCTGCAGCTTCACACCATCATCAGAGCTCGTCACCACCACTCGAGGTCTGCCCTGAGGTTCCTCCGGCAGGTACAGAGCGAGCCCACAACAGACTTGCTCACATCGGGTAAGTGCAGTGAAGGAGCTCACACCATGATGGAGGCGGGCATGACTGGAGCAGAAATAGGAGCGACAACAAGGCTCTGGGCAGTGGGGCGGGGGCAGGGTGGGCAGAGACCTCCTGGCGAGGGAGCGCCAAGAACAGAGGGAGCCCAGTGGAGGGCGGTCCGCGGCGGGAGGCTGCTGTGGTGGAGCGCTGGGCTGTGCAGTGCCTCACGAGCACCGAAAGGACGGAGAGGGCCCTTTCTCATACCTGGGCTGCGACAGTGTGTGACCTGGTGGGAAAGAGCTTTGTGACGCAGGCCGTGTTAAACCCTGCTTCAGAAAGGCCAAATGCAGCTCGCAGGCCTGCCCCTCCGGCGCCGACCACTACTGCATCGAATTCATGATCCACTACTGGGTACTGCGTAGAAATCTGGAAAAGAAAAAGCCCCCTGTCAATCACTGGTTCAACTAGGCCAGACACTGAGGCTGTGGTTACGGTGAAAGAGAGTCATTGACACGCCCAGAGGGCCTCCATCCTGTGCTGGGACTGCACACCAGGTACAATGCAGTAGTCACAGCAGACGTGGTGGGCTCACCCTCGAACTGAAAGGGGACAGCAAACGGCTCTCATCAGTAGCAGAGCACCAATCCCATGGAGCTAGGGCACCCACCATTAGTTGAAAGGCCGAAAACTCAAAGTAGGGGACCACAGATGCAGAGGAAAGCAATACCACAAATCGAAACACCAGTTCTAACTACGGTTTTTCTTTGCAATTATCATTTTTACTTATCTTCTCTTTTTACATTTATACCCATATACATATACAAATCTAAGCTTACAGTGTAGTATAGATCATGATTTGAAGCTTATCATGAAAACACTGCAATGTCGTTTCATTTAGATAAGGACTGTCCATTCACCTGAGTGACCATCCAGGGACCAAGGACACAAGTCTATTCCAGGTCCATATTGTATTAACGACTGAGAAAGCGCCAACAAGCATTCAGTAACTATTGTGAGCTTATGAGATAGAAACTTAGAAGCAAATCTCAGTTTCTTCAACAGACAGCAGAAGGGCCTCGTAAACACAAAAGAGCCCAAGTTGCTACAGTCCTCAGCTGAGGAGGGTGTCTGTCACCATCCATTCCAGTAAATACCGTTCATCTGACATTTGTATTTCATTATTTTTTTACTTAAAGTTTAATCTGGCTTACAGATATGTAAGCGCTACAAACAAAAAAATGTTAATATCTATGCTTGTATTGTACTATAATTATTATTACACCAAAAATAATGAGCATGAATGAAAAATTTTTAAGTAAAACCTGTGTTACTCAAAAAAATTAAAACCTGGTATAGAACCCTACTCCGTTAGGTCAAAAAAATCACTTGTAACAAAGTCATGAACTTACTGCATCTGAAACTTTAGCGGACGACCTCTTACTGCCATCAACGGTGAAGTGAAAACTGCGGGCTCCTGTGTGCAATGCTGCTGGCCGCTGCTGAAACACAGATGGAACACTAAGTGTCTTCACGGAACAGGGGACTTGTAATTAAAACTTCCCTTCTAAGTCGACAGTCTTCTTATGTACCCAGGTGCTCCCTTTTCTTAAAAAAAAAAAAAATTATTTATTTATTTATTTTTGGCAGCGTTGCTGCACGCGGGCTTTCTCTAGCTGTGGCGAGCGGGGGCTACCCTTCGTTGCGGTGCGTGGGCTTCTCACTGTGGTGGCTTCTCTTGTTGCGGAGCACGGGCTCTAAGCATGCAGGCTTCAGCAGTTGTGACATGTGGGCTTCAGCAGTTGTGGCTCGCGGGTTCTAGGGTGCAGGCTCAGTAGTTGTGATGCACAGGCTTAGCTGTTCCACAGCACGTGGGCTCTTCCCCGACCATGGCTCGAACCTGTGTCCCCTGCATTGGCAGGCGGATTCTCAACCACTGCACTGCCAGGGAAGCCCGCTGGTGCTCCCTTTCACCCAGAAGCCTTACCTGGAACCCTCCACTTAACCCTGAAGGTTGAGGCAAGGGCTAAGGACCCAGGGCAGGCCCAGGAGGCAAGGAGTTGGCACTCCAGCAAAGGCCCTTCTAGGTGAAGTTTGTTTCTAGACAGGACACTGACTCAGGAAATGACAAGGCACACTTTCACATTAATTTCTTAATTTATGGTACTTCGTGGAGAATGGAGAAGACATCTGTGTTGCCTACGTGGCAGTTTTGCAAAGAATGAAGTGTCTTTCCAGGATCCATCCCAGCCCTCTTCATACTGGAGCTCCCCTATGAGGTTCTGTGGGTCCCTGGAGGAGGCGCCAGGCAGCGCGTAGGGAGTGGGTGCTCCAGAGCAGGCTGTCACTGGGTGTGGTGACATCCCTTCCCTGAAGACGAGAAGATTCGGGCCCAGAGATGCTGCTGGTCCTGCCTCACCACTCTCCGCACCTGCGCTAGGCTCAGCCACGCCCCTTTCCCTGGCATACTCCACATGCCGGTCCCTCTGCTAGGACACCTGTCCCTGGCCAACCTCCACGACTACAAGTCTCAGCTCAAATGTCCCATCCTATAACCATTTACCCAAGAAAATGGTATTAATGAAATCACAGCCCAGCATGACAGGCAACCTTCTCCATAGGCTAGCGACGGTCAGCAATTTAGGGGATAAGTTTTTCCAGTCTGCTGGCTGCATTTTACTAGACCACTGATAGAACAGTCTTAGAAATATCTTGAAGAACAGTTTTGGGAAATAAGTACATTCAACGATGACAAAAGGGATGCCTTCAAGTATTCTGCAATTGGAAGAGATGTTTCAATTCTGTGGGGAAAGAAATTATGCTACGGGACAAACAAGGGGGGATTACAGGGAGAATTACCAAATTCAAAATGAACTCCAACTGAGCTGCCTGAAACTGGACAGACTTCCCTGTAAGTGAGGGACTCAGGCCGGAGCTGGATGACCTGACCGACTACTTGCGAGCAGCATCAGAGAGGGCTCCCTCTAACTCTGAGACTGAGTGGTAGCTGACACAAACATTGAGTTTACTTTAATAGCTCCGATTAAAAAGTAGTTTCCTGGGTTTTTAAGTAGATCTGAACTGATAAGAGTCATACTCTTGAATTCTCCATTTGCAATGTTAAGTACGTTTGTTTTTATTGACAAAACCACTCTTTCAGATATGAACTAAAAAAGCAAATATTTTTCAGCTGTATTATAATTTTTAAATGGTAAAATCATATTTTAACAAAAAACTAAGTCCCTGAAAGAATTCTAATACAAATGTTCTTGAAAATTTCATAAAGAATAATATAAATACAGCTAATAGCACCAATAAGAACAGTACATTTTGTGATGCCAAATTAAAATTAAAACAGAAACCATGAGATTCCCTAAATATTTATTTCTTCTTTCTAGGATGTTCTCACACACACACACACACACCCCACACGCACACGGTTAGCTTAAAAAGCAGTAGCTACCGTAATGAACTCTTTAACAAATTATCATATTATCTCTCTGTGGAAAATAGTAACATTATTTTTTGTATCTAAATCCAATTTGGGGAGTGATATTAGAATTTGGAGAGTCCAATTTTAATCCAATTTCTGTCTTTAGATAAAACTTGTATTATGTCACTTCTTAATCTAACGTTTTCTGAAGAGAAATTATCAAACCTTTCCCAAGAGGGTAACGAAAAAGAATGCAGAAATCTACCTAAGGCAGAAGTAAAAGAACACAGAGCTCTTAATAGCATAAAAGTACAGGTGACTGAATTAGGAGGAAAAGGAGAGAACAAGTGAGAAGGGTAGAGATACTGATGCCCTCCATCCAGCAAAGTGGTGCTGGGGGCTGTCCTCATCTAACAGAATACGCCTGTGAATCATGAACAAGAAACCAATTTGTAAGCACAAGCTATACAATTACAAAAGTAGACAATAAAGGATCCGAAGTGGTTGCATGATTATATTGGGAGAACTGAGGATGTGGGTAGAAGGATGGTTTAAATGAACGAAATCCTCATTTACCAGCAAAAGTCAATGTCTAAACTGGACAAAAATGCACCTGCATATCAGCTAGAGAAATGGAGGTAAACAGCAGGGGCCAATACCAAAAACAATTCAAAATTGACTCCACTGGGGAAAAGGCCTGGGGAAGGACGTGGTCTTATTCCTTTTCACTTATACGGGCTTCTGTACTGATTTTCTTTTCCAACTATGTGTAATTATTTTCACTAAAAATGTAAAGGTTTTTTAAAATAGGGATGTTTAAAATACCATTCACACGATTACCAAGGGCAGGCTGTGAGCTGTGGGCCTGGCACGGAGGAGCGCCACACAAAGCTCTCACAGGTTACCTCACAGAATCCTCATTAACCCCACAGAGAAACCGAGTCTCTCCAGGACGCAGGAGCTCTGGACTGGGTCTGCCTGGCTGGCTCCAAATCCTGTACTGTCCCCACCATCTAGGGACCCTTGGGGAAAATCTCTGGGACTCCAAACTAAGATGAATATCCAGGCTGTATGCTAAAACTGAGCCACAACTTTTCAAGTGAACCAGGAAAAACATGACACGGAATGCAGAACTGAAAACCAGTGGCATTATGATTATCCCAAGAAACAAAACGTTACTACAGTGGCCTAAATAATGTAAATCTAGGTCCACCATTAAAACATACTCAGAATGATACATTCAAAGAGAAGCAGCTGACTTATTCTAGAACAATATCTTGTTGAAAATTGAAAAATCTCATCTGAAGGGAGAAGTTAAGCAACTATTTAAAGTTCTTGGTTTTACTTTCCCTTTTGATTTAACTATCAATACTGTGGAACAGTTTGTAAATTCTGTCAGTGCACTGGGACAACGGGAAAGGAAGCAAAGGCAAAATAGGTTTGATAATTGTGTAACTTCAAAGCAGCTGTAAATATGACTTGGAAACACCACAGAATTGAACAAAATGAGATAAAGAAAAATTCCGTGGACTATTCAAATTATCCTCATCAAAGAGGCTTTATGAACATTCCTCGGCTGGAGATCATGAATTCCTTTCTTTTTTTGTTCTGCTAATTTGATGCTTTTGTTCTTGCCAATCTGAAACTCCAATACACAGCTTGTGGACAGATTAATTTCCATAGACGGAAATAATTTCCAAAGCTATCTACATCAGAATAAAAAACCTTCAGAAACCCAAGACCATCTTCGGTAGACCTAACCTGTGGTTCAACTTTGCTAACTCTACCTTGCCATCATGTTCACAACCACCTGAAAATGGGACCGTGGTGAAGATTCAAGGAGACAGTGGAGCACAGTGCTGGCAGCCAAGAGCGGGTTCAACCGAGATCACTTCCAATCAAGCCAATAGGAAAGGAGAGGTTTATGCTCCAACTTGTGGTGCGCCGAACTTTACTCTTACTTTCAGCTAAAAGCTCACAGCTGAATTCCTTCCAGCCCAGCTTGTGTAAAGGACAGCAATATTTTCATAAAATGGCAAAGGGCGAGTGGTAGGTGAAGGGTGCCTGCAGGATGGAATAAGGAACTCCTGGCTCCAGTCTGGTCTGAAGACAGACGTGTCAGCTTTTCCCCCGTCACCACCACATACCAAATCTGTCATCTCACCTAACGATAAGGGCCCACTCAGAAGTTTGCTCAAACTTTGTTGACTAAAACTACCGCACTGACCATGGACTTCATTTCCTGCTTGTGGACCCCCTGCTTCAACCGTGTCTTAGAGCCCAAGATTTGGGGGCTTGGGGGAACCTCTGCTCAGTAAGAACCAGCAACACATGAAAGCATTTAAAATGCTTCCTGGTGTTGGTAGGTTGCCCGACTAAACCGCCTCACATTTAACATTAACTTTTAATTCCTGTATTTTAAAAAGAAGAAAATTGTAGGTATAATTACAGGCATAAATCAAGTCAACATTGTTGAAAGCCTTGGTTCCCACTGGGACCTTTACTTTGTAATTAAATTACTAACTAGGAGGCTCGAGGAGTACATGTAAAAGAACCAAATAACTAAACCCTCTAAATTCAGTGCTTCCAATAAACCCCCCCAGGGCTTCCCTGGTGGCGCAGTGGTTGAGAGTCCGCCTCCCGATGCAGGGGACACGGGTTCGTGCCCCGGTCCGGGAAGATCCCACATGCCGCGGAGCGGCTGGGCCCGTGAGCCATGGCCGCTGAGCCTGCGCGTCCGGAGCCTGTGCTCCGCAGCGGGAGAGACCACAGCAGCGAGAGGCCCGCGTACCGCAAAAAAAAAAACCCAAGAAACAAAACAAAACCCAAATCGACTCTGAAGGCCTCACCGTCAGAAGTGCAGGGTACACGGTCCAGCAGCCAGGCCTCGGGAAAGCACATCCCGGACCGACCCGAGTGGGGCTAGCGGGACACCGCAGCCCAGGAAGACACCCACCCCGCGTCCGCCCCAGTGGCTTGGCGGTCAGTGCTCAGGAGTCACCGCACAACACCTAGAAGCAAGGCCGAGCCTAGTGCCGGGGCTCCGCTCAGATCCCACCGCCCGGGTCCACCGCGATCAGGCCGCCCCGGGCCCGTCCCGCCGTGTGACCTTGGGCGGCCGCGTCCTGGAGCGCGCGCCCGGAGCTGAGCGGGCTGCCTCAGCCGTCGCCCCGGGCTCCTGACCGGGCCCTGGGAGGGGAGGGGTCCCGGGCGGCCCGCAGCGTCGTGACCTTCACCGCGCCGCAACCCGCTCGGCTGGAACAGAGTCCGGCGGGCCCTCCCCAGCCCGTCCCACCTCGGGGTCGGGGGCACGGGACCCAGCGTCCGCCCTGCCCCACCCGCAGCTCCAACTCACCGCCCAGGTCAGCGCTAGGCGCCGGGCGCGAAGCAGCCGCGACACAACCCCGATCCGCGACACAACCCCGATCCCCGACACAACCCCGACCCCCGACATGTCTGCCCTCCTTGATTTTTCTGACATAACTGGCTCATTATAAGCAGACTTGGCTGCATGGCCATTTGGTGACCTATGGTCTCTTCGACGGGGCAACGCGGCGCCTGCGCAGAGGGACGAGCGGACGGCGGCGCTCAGGGCACAGGGGCCGAGACCTCCCGGCTGGAGGTAGGTTGCGGTCTGGGGTCGGGGGTCTTCACGGGCTCGCCTAATTTCTACTCCGGTCCAGACGGTGTTCGATTTTTCTCGAGTTTACGGCAGTTTTGTGAGATGAACCGGTGCTCGCAGGTAACGTGGTGTTAGCCCCGCTTTCTCTCCGGGACAGAGAGGGAGTTCCCGACGTTTAGGGGTCCCGCGGGTCCTTGCCGGGTTCCGCTGCTTTATTAGGACTGCGCGTTCCGGGAGGCGGACCCTGTAGGTTACCGGGGGGTGGGGGCTAGGACCCTCCAGTTCATGAGGTCTGGGGGCCGCGAACTCCATAATATAGTGTACGGGGTCGGGGGCGCAGGCCTTATAATTTATGGGATCGGGCGGGCATGAACCCTGTGGGGTGGGGCTGGGGGCGCGCGGACCTTGTCGTTTACAGCAGCGGTCCCCAGCCTTTTTGGCACCAGGAACCGGTTTCGTGGAAGATTATTTTTCCACGGGGTGGGGGGAGGGGATGGTTCAGGCAGTAATGCGAGCGATGGTGTGGGGGGCCGGGATGCGGAGCGGCAGGTGAAGCTTCGTTCACTTTCCCGCCTCTCGCCTCCTGCTGTGCGGCCCGGTTCCTAACCAGCCGCGGACGAGTATCGGTCCACGGCCAGGGGATTGGTGCTCCCTGGTTTACCGGGTTGGGGGGAAGGGAATGCTGCTCCCAGACCTCCCCTATGAGGGTTACGAGCTTCACTACTTTAGATCTCTTTTTTATTCTGTACTCGCCACAAGCTCCTTAAGTACTGAGCCTTTTTGTGTGTATGTCATTGCTTTACTTTATTGCCCGTTAGCATTTTATATCTTTAGGTGTTGAACAAGTATTTATTGCAAAGTCTGTTGAGAGTCTTTGAAGTTGAATTAAGTTTCTTTTGGCTATATTTGCTTCGTCCTATTTGTATTTGTTATTTGAGACACATCTTCTCCCCCACGATTTGTGACTTGCTTTTGTCTGAGGTCTTGTTTTTTTCTTTTAATCCCATAAGGCTCAGTGCTGTGCAGCGCATACCTAGATCTGAACAAAATTTTCTGAAAGAAAAAAAAGTCTCACATGAGCCATGTAGGTGATATAATTGTGACCAATGTATTTTGTTTTTTGTGTGTGTTTAACGGTTTTATTATTTACTTCAAGGTGTATCTCCATGAATAACTTAAATGACCCCCCAAATTGGAATATCCGGCCCAGTTCCAGGGCTGATGGGGGTGATGGAAGCAGATGGAATTATGCCCTGTTGGTTCCAATGCTGGGATTGGCGGCTTTTCGTAAGTCATGGTTTTCCTAATGTGTGTTTTCTGGGCTGAAAGTGTGGCGCTCTAAGATCTTGGGCTTTGGAACCTGACAGATGTTGACTGTAAAAACAAAAATGTAGGGCTTCCCTGGTGGCGCAGTGGTTGAGAGTCCGCCTGCCAATGCAGGGGACGTGGGTTCGTGCCCCAGTCCGGGAAGGTCCCACATGCCATGGAGCGGCTAGGCCCGTGAGCCATGGCCGCTGAGCCTGCGTGTCCAGAGCCTGTGCTCCGCAACGGGAGAGGCCACAGCAGTGAGAGGCCCGCGTACCGCAAAAAAAAAAATGTAAAATGTGAGAGCTATGAAGACTAGCCCAGGATACAGTCTCTCAGCTGTTAGGAACTGCTCAGAAGAGGCAGGGGAGGAGCCAGGAAATACATGTGGTCCAGCATACGTCTCGGTAAAAGATTAGTACTTGTCACAGAAAGCCAGGTGTGTCAAGTTAGTGACTTTAGTGCTTACCTATGTATGGGAAGATGCAGGAATTTGGGGTCACTGAAATTCTTTCTTAGTCCTGTATCTTAACGCTGTAGGGTCCCATGTATCCACAACACAGAGTGCATTCACCCTGAATCCCTTTCCGGGTGAACTTGTAGGTCAGTGACTGTGGCTAATGACTTAATCATAAATGGTGGGCAGCAGTCTTTGTTTACAGAGATGCATGTGTACACCCTAGGTTTTTCGCATATGGTACATTCTGCGCAAATTATTTACCCTCTGAGCCTCAGTTTCTCTGACCATCATAACTGCCTCAATGCAAGTGAGGGTTAAATAAGACAAGGTATTTAGAGGCATTTTGTGTGGAGTGAGTTCAGTAACTGTTAGCTCCCTTCAAGGCTGTACTGCTCTGAGGGGGGGCTCCCTTGCTTCAGTTGCCCTCATAAGCACTGATGAGGAAGAATAAAACAGGCATAAAAGAAAACTGGTTTTGTATGTCTGTGTAATGTTTAGGAAATCAGTCTTTGGGAGACTTCATCCATGAAACCTCTGTTCAGGCTGGCCAGAAATTCTCTCTACTTTGAATCGACTTTGTACCTCTTTGGGGAAATTACCAATCACCAGTCAATTGTAATTATTCCAGCTCTTAGCTTATATGCCTACTACATGATGAATTTCCTGATGTTTAGGGGTTGGTTTCATGTTTTGTCACTGTCGCAGAAGAAGAAACTTTCCTCTACCCTTTTAAGTTCTTCTGGCTGGTCTAAGAATTAAATTGATATGAGACAGATTAACAGGAGAAAATCAAACAAGTTTTTAACATGTATCCATAGGAGAGACTCAGGAAAATTGAGTAACTTACCAGAATGGCATAATCCCTCACCTTAAATACCATCCCAAGCTTAAGACAAAAGAGGATGTTGAGGTTGGGGAGAGTTAGTTACCAGAGGAGACTAGGAAAAGTGCAATAATCAAGGGTAAGGTCGTTATGCAGATTTAAGCTCTAGCCTTTTCCTGTGATAAGAGTTTCCAGAAATTTGGTCAACCTCTTCCTGGTACAGCCAGGGAGACACCCTTACAAATGCAGAACTCCCTTATAAATGTAAGTGTTTCTTGCAAAAGGGTTAACTCCTACTTGGTTTTCAGAGTTTCTCCCATGTCTGCTGTTTCTTCGAAAATAACCAGTTGAAAATAATCCCTATGCCAAAGAGACAAGTTATTTCTTTTTTTGATAGGTAGAAAGTGGATTTATTTAGAGAGAAACACACTCCACAGACAGATTATGGGCCATCTCAGAAGGTGAGAGAGGCCCCAAAATATGGAGTGGTTAGTATTTATGGGCTGGGTAATTTCATAGGCTAATGAGGGGGAGGGTTATTCCAATTATTTTCGGGAAGGGGTGGGGATTTCCACGAACTGGGCCACAGCCTACGTTTTGACCTTTTATGGTTGGCCTCAGAACTGTCCTAGCACTGGTGAGTGTGTCATTTAGCATATGCTAATGTATTACAATGAGCGTATAATGAGGCTCAAGGTCTACTGAAAGTCAACTCGTCTGCCCTCTTGGACCTAGTTGGTTCTAACCAGTTTTTGTCATGTCCTTTGGCTGTGTCATTCTTTTAAAGGTTGTGCCCTGCCTGCTTCCCTCCTGTTTCATTCCCCCGTCGGAGATTTCACTCCCATATTGTTATGGGAAGCAGAGGGGCGATGGTCCATCTTCTGAAGTTGCTTCGAGGCTGAGTAGGGGCATCGACCCCGCCTGTCAGGGAGTAAAAATCTCCGGGATGCCTGATCTAGGGGCCCCAGGAGCAGGACAGCTCCTTGTTTTAAATCGGTATGGGCTGGAATCCTTGCATAGCCATTGTGTTGATGTGGAAGTGTTGTAACTGTTTCTTAGCCTTCCCGTGAATCTTGTTGATGCAGCACTTTCGTAACACCATCAGAGTAAAAGATAACTATCCATAGATGACAGAAGACTTAAAAGGCGCGGCCAACCGTCTGATTACATGTCATTTAACAAACGAAATAATCCTAGTTAAATATTTTTCTTTGAGATACCTCAGGGACCCTCTAAAGTATCCCAAAGTTAGCTGGAAATCCAAAGAACTTTAATTAAAATTTGATATTGGGAAGTTTGTCAAAAAGTTTTAAAAGACTTGGTCAAATAAGATCATAGGTCACTGAGACAATACTTATTTCTTAACCAAAGTTAAAACAGATCTTGAAAGCAAATACAGATCCCTTTAAGGCAAAGTAACTCATGTTATTAAAAGCAGTAATTCAAGAAAACTTTGGAGGGAGAAACCAAGTCCGGTCTTGCCCCAGCCCACTCCCAACAAAATCGGTTTACCCAACTAAGTTTAATCCAATCTTAGAAAATCTTGGTCATGTACAACTCCTTTTATTTATTATTTATTTATTTATTTTGGCTGCACTGGGCCCTTGTGGCACGCGGGCTCTAGAGCCTGGGCTCAGTAGTTGAGGCGTGCAGGCTTGGTTGCGGCATGTGGGCTTAGTTGCAGTATGTGGGATCCTAGTTCCCCAACCAGGGATCGAACCCAGGCCCCCTGCATTGGGAGCTCGGAGTCCTAACCACTGGAACACCAGGGAAGTCCCAAGATCATGTACAACTCTTTTTTCCAGTATTTTTTTTCTCACTCTTTACACCTTCTTTTACTGAAAACATACATTTTTCCTTAAAAGTTTTTTTTTTTCACTTCGTTACTTTTCTTGCTGACAGATTTGCAACATATAATAAGGTCTCATTTGACCTCTAGTAAACCTAGGTACAGCAGAAGTATTATACTTAACATTGGTGACTCTAAAGACATACCTGTATTAATCAAATCAACAAGTTTAAGCCTCCTTCAATACCAGACATTTAATGTTGAGTATTTCCTGGATCGCGTGAACCTGAAATTCATTCTGGCCAGTTTTATATTCCTGAGTATTTATATAAGCACTTAATTTTTTTAAGTCAATTAAGTAGAGCTTCTTTACAACTTAATTTTGGTAATACTATACATCTACAACACACATAGGTACATACAAACACACAAACACAGAGACCTTATAGTTCTCATTTGAAAATTTCAGCCCTGAGTCAGGTACAACAAGGTAAAACCCATCAGTTACAAGGGGTTGGATTCAAATTGGGCTTCTGGCAGATGGAGCAAATCAAGGTCACCTGTCTAGATGGCTAAACCCTTTTTTCTAATGTTTACAGAAAAGACACTTAGGATTTCTTTTCGTCCTTGACAAGTCAAGTTCCAAATTACCTACCCCGTTTTTGAAATTTGCATTTTATTTTATTTTTATTTTTTTAACCCAAATTCTTTTTTTTTTAATTTAATTTAATTTATTTATTTTTGGCTGCATGGGGTCTTCGTTGCTGCGTGCGGGCTTTCTCTGTTGCGGCGAGTGGGGGCTACTCTTCGTTGTGGTGTGCCGGCTTCTCATCGTGGTGGCTTCTCTTGTGGAGTGCGGGCTTCAGTAGTTGCAGCATGGGTCCTCTGCATTGGCAGGTGGATTCTTAACCACTGCGCCACCTGGGAAGCCCGAAATTTGCATTTTAAAAGGATGCTGGCGATGAGGGTTCCTGGAGAATTTCAGGTAGACATTTGCATCTTAAAGGCATAGGCAAGTGCCTCCTAGGATGACTTTGTTCTCTTAAGGCCAAAAGAAAACAAGTTTTTTTTCCTCCTAAGAATTGATTAGCCCCCTCAATGATATCAAATGACTGACACACCCATTCACCTCTGTGGCGAGGTTTTACCTTCCCTCATTTAGCTTAGGAGAGCAGAAGGCCTCCCGCCGAATTCCTGTCAGGCCCCAAATGTCAGCTGTGGTTAGTCAGACCAGTGGCCTCCCATTTTGGTTACTGCTATTTACAGGGATATTCCCATCCAGGTCTTAATTTAATAGTCACCTGTTGGATATTTTTGGCCAAGCCTAGAACCTTGATATTCCACACTCCTACTAAGCCTTCTATTGCAGCTCCAGATTTAATCTGTTACCTTCCGCTTCCGGCTAGAATCATTTGGTGATGAGGGTGGTTCCCTTGCCCCTTGAGAAACTTAGTAAGGCCCAAGGGACCTATTTAAGGGTGGCATGTTGTGCTTCCCTACATCATATCCCCTGGTTCTGGGTTGGCACTTAAGAATATGAGAAACGGAGAAAAAGCTGCCCTCTGTTGCAGGGATGCTTTTATTTTTAAATTATATGGAACACTTCACGAATTTGTGTGTCATCCTCCAGCAGGGGCTGTGCTAGTCTTCTGTGTGTTTTTCCTTTTTTTTATTATTATTATTTTTTTAAGTATATGTGCTGCCAAAGTGAGCAGGCAGTGATACTTTTTATGGAGTGGCTTTATGTGCCTGGATTTCTTAGGTTAGCAGGTTTGAGTAGAGAAAGTGGAGGCTGACAAGAGTAGCATTTATCAACTTCATTTATCTGCCTTTAGTTTTAGGCTATGCTAGGGGGCTACTTAACACCCATATGTTCGATATAATTTCTTAATCTTGTCATAACACATTTT